CCCCCCGCCCCGAGGCTCCTGGGACCCGGCCAGACCCCGGGGGAGCACCGGTTCCCTGGCACCATGTTCGGCCGCCAAGGCCGAAGGCACCAACCTTTCGGAGCCCTGCGTTAGCCTCGAGCCCGCCGCTCCTCCCGAACGCCCCAACCCCCCGATTCTCCAGGTTGTCCTTCTCCGGTCACCCACCCGGGTTCGGGCAGCTCAGCTGCGGGTCCTCGGTGTGCCCGGTGCCCCATGCAGCGGCCTCGGGCCCCGGGGCTGCCCCTCCGCGGCCCGGGCCGCGGCGCCGCTGTCCCCTAGGCCTTTCTCCGGTGCCGCCGCCTTGGTACTTACAGGATGCTTTGGGGCTGCTTCCAACCACAGACTCGGCCGCCTGGCAGGGGAGAAGGAGCGGCAGGGCGGGGACACCAGTGGGTCAGAAGCGACGAGCTAAGTGCAAGAAGACGATTTTGGGCCGAGGGCCGAGGCGGAGGCGAAGACCTTGGGGCAGGCCGTCTTCTGGCTCGGGGTAGCGGGGACGGAGTCGGAGTCAGGTGAGCGCGCTCACTTCTTAGCACAGCCCGGCGCCCCGGCCCAGCGTCCCCTTAGTACGGCCACTTATCGCTGGGCCAGAGCTTCACTCCTTCTGCCGGGGCGCGCGCCCCGCCTCTCCTTTTATAGTCTCCTCCTCCTTCCCCCCCCACCCTCCAAGGGGGCGCGCGCGCCCGCCCCGCGTCACACAGCTCCGGGCGGTGTAACCATTTCCCCTTCCCTCTGCCAGCCCTCCGAGCCTCCCAGCTGGCTCCGCCCCTGCCCTGCCCCCCGACGCCATTGGCCAAGTCCCGCCTGCCCACGTCTTGATGGGCGGTGGTGCGCTAGAAGGCGGAAAGCCACACCCCCAGACTCCAGAAAAGCCAATGAGCCGATAGTTCTGAGCGACTGGGCGGGATTAAGAAACAATTTGGAAGGGGATTGGGAGAAAGATATGTCAGTGAGAGCCAAGGGGAGGTGTAGGGCGGGTGACACTTGGTCTACGAGGAGAGAGCCTTGGAGGAGGGGGTGGGGAGCAAAGCAGGTGCTGAAGCGGCCGAGAGAAAATGGGGAGGAGAATCCAAGGCCCTAAGCGAGCTGACAAAAATGTCCTCCCCGAGAGGGCTTATGTCTGAGGAAAATCCCACTCGTGAACGAGCTACCTAATCGGCCTCCAGTCCACCCCAGAGAAGTCTAGAGAAAGGCTGAACTGTGACCGAGACTCGTGCACCTGATTAATTGAATATTAATCACTTCAGGAGCCTAAGCTAACTGCCACATAGAGTGGCAACTGCAGAACCCAAAGCTGCCGTGCCAGCCTGGGGGTGGGGAAAGGAGACCACCCACGCCACACCTCCCTCTTAGGTGACAGTTTAACTGTCTCTGCTTTCCCCCATCAGACCTCCTCGGGCGGGACAGCAGCAACTTGGAGATGTGGGTAGCTGGAGACTGGTAGAAGAACCACATTTTATTCTAAAAGTCGCTAACTCAGGCCCGGTGCCTAGGGTGTGGTGACAGGACGCCAAATGGCGTATGTATGTATGCAAGCGTGTATTTCAAGTGTGTACTTTAACCTGTGTTTAATAAACACGATGCTTTCGGGTCAAGTGCGTTTGAGGTGATTTTCGGTTGCGATAATGAGTGGTAAATAGGGTGTGGGGAAAGAGGGATTCAAAGGGAGAACTGGATCCCGGAGGGTGAGCCTTTTTCCACAACGAGTGGCGGAGAAACACGAAGTTGATCCGTGAGGAGCCGAGGAGCCGAGAGTCCCTCTCGGCTAAAAATATTACTCACAGATAGCAACGACTCCTGATTGGCCACGCTTCTCCCTAGCAACCAGGCTATTGGCTGTCTGGTATCCAGGCGACAGACGTCAAACTCGGACTGGGAAAAGGCGAGAGAAAGTCGAGGGGGTGGGGAGGGGAGGATAGGAGGTGGAGAAAGAAGCGATGAATGAAACGCCCAACGCCTAGCCTTCCCCTTTCCCCTTTCTACTGCACTGAAGGAGCGCTTCCTGGAAAAACACCGGTTGGGGCGCCTCGAAACGGTGGGGCCTGCGTTTGAGAACCTGGTATAAGAAAGTTTAACAGGAACTCACCAAAGAGGGGGTGTTGGCGGATCTGACCCGCCAACGGGTGTTTAACGTGTTGGGTCTGGAGGCTTTCCGCTTAATGCACGCCAAACCTGGATGCAACCTCTCCACCCAGACCCTCATGCTCTGCTGCTTGCTTCTCTCTTTTGAGAAGAAGCCGCACTAAAAAAAGAAAAAAGAAAAAAAAAGAAGTTTCTAAAAGTCCAAATGTGTGTGAAAAGGGGGGAGGAGAGATAGGTTTGTGGAATGGGCTGCGGGTGGAGTATGGTCAGGTGACTGATTCATGTTTATTGTACAGATTCCTAAAAGTCATGCAGTGTTTTTTAAGAACATAGAAGTTACTCAATGACTCCTTAAGTGCTAATTTTTCAAAATACAGGGTTTTAGTTGTCGGCAAAGAAGAGGGTGATTGTGAAGACTATGACAAACATTTTTAATGAAATACACTATACCCTGCGTTGGGAAATTTTGTGATAGACGTTTTGTTCTGTGTTTGTTTCCTTTCTTGTTCATTTGTATTTTCTCGTTTTATCTCTAGTGAACGTGAATGCCATTGTAAGAAAAATGAACTTGAAAGATTTTATAATGAGTTGACCACAGAAATTTCAAGAAGGTAAGATATTTGGGGGCTAGTTTATAAATAGGAACCCTCTTATTAGTTTTTCATGGGCTCCAGAAATGTAATTTCTCTTGTCATTTCAGCAAATTAGTGAAAAAATAACCAGAATTGCAAGACCATGTGTGGGGCCATGCGTCTTGATTTGTGGCCTGGGAAATAATAATACCACTATAATTTAGAAATCATTTGACTTGGCTGAGATGAACATTTCTAACAAAAAAAGCACCCAAACTGTAGTTTTGTCAAGCTTATCTATATTTTTCAAGAATTCTCTGAAGGGAAAACACAAATTCTGTCTTCTGTAATCCAGATTTAAAATATAAGAGCAGTCATCTGAGAATTATTGATTAAATATAAATAAAAATAAGCGGAATACTTGTTGTATTAAGCTGAAATTCACATAACATAAAATGTACCACTTTATACAATTCAGTAGCACTTCGTACATTCATAGTTTGTACAACAATCACTTCTAACTAGTAAATAGTTAGGAGTTTTTAAATCAGAAATTGTCGAAAATCACAGTTACTACTATTCATTTGTTCAGTTCAGGAATATGAGAAGAATTCAAACTAAATACACACGCACACAAATACCCTCGTGGTATGCTAGGGAAAATACTGAACTATGGGATTTGGAAGCAGGTGTGGCATCCACTCCCTAAACGCCATGCCTCTGGAAACTCTGTGAACTTTGATGGCTGGGGAAGGGCTTCAGAACCTTTTGTTCGTGGGGTTGCTATGAGTTGTGGTCGACTCAGTGGCAATCAACAACATGGGGATTAGGAGACTGACTTTTCACCCTGGCTCCATCAACTTTAGGGTTCTTCAGCTGTTAAAACAAACACAACAAAACAAAAAGGCTTGAATTAGCGTGTAATTTGTCAAGCTGCTAATCACAAAGTCAACAGTTCACATTCACCAGTGCTCGGGAGAGAAAGATGGGCAGTCTCCTCCCATAAAGATTTACAGACTGAGAAACCAGATAAGTGTCTCGGTGAGTTGGAACCAACTCCATCACAGTGGGTTTGAGCTTGTTTTAAACGTGTTTAAATAAATTTCACATTTAAACTTGGCGCCCTTAAAGTAAATAATGTGATTCTTTTTCAAATACAGTTTGCAAATGAAAGATAGTTCGTACTCACAAGTATCAAATGTTCTTTGTCTATCCACAGTGCATTTTAAAGAATCCGTCATATGGATCACTACCATGGAACATTTATTTTGAAACTATATAGAGGAGTGGATGCTAAATTATTATTTTGATTTAGGATTTTTAAAAAGTACCTTCTACTCAAACGACTCGACGGCACATAACAACAACAACCTTCTACTCCGGCCTGTTTTTCATTGTTTTTGTTCAAACATTCTTCTAGGTCATATAGCCCTGGTATGTCCACTTTCTGTACAGAGGTAACTGGTGGTTGCTGTGAAGCTGAACACTGTGACACTGATGTGTCAAATGCATTAATGGTTACCCATGGCGGACAGTGTTTGGTGGACCTTCCTCATTAAAACAAGCTTGGAAGCAGGAGTGGAATCCACTTCGGTAATAGCTTGCCTCTGGAAACCCTATGAACTTGGAGAAAGGACGAAAGTCATACAAGTGTTGAGGACTTTTGTTCATAGGGTCACTATGAGTCACCTACGACTCAACAGCACTTAACAACAACATAACCTTCTGTTAAATGTCAAGTGGTATGACAATCAGGAAAGTCAGAAACACTGAAAACTTTAGCCCTTTTTTTTCACACCTTTACAACCCACAATTTCTGGTGGAGAGGTGGGTAATGATTACCATAATGGTTGGTAAAAAAAAATCACAATGTCGTTGTAAAAGATTATTTTTAAAGTAAATGAGTTATTAACACATTCACACAAACACCTCTTCTTTATTTCTGAGTGAGTATGCTCTAAATTTTCTTATTCTTTTTCCTTGTAAGCAGAGTTAAAGCCACTGGGAATGTATTTTTAATAAGGTTCATTTTTATTCTATAGAGTTAACCCTTAACTTTTATTTGAAAATAAGGTAACATGCAAGTGAATCCAGGAAAGAAAGATGAACAGTCTTTTCCTGTGTGATTTACAGCATAGAAACCCAGTGGTGGGTCAACTATGAATCACCTCCATCTGAACAGCAGTGAGAGATGATTGTAGCACAAACCATAACATGAACATTTTTAAAAATTGTTAATAAAAAACATTGTAAACTTTTGAGTTATTAGCAATAAAATTAATCCATTCTTCCCTCAACATTTCTCAAAGACAGACACAAAATTTCTGACAGGAAATTTCTGTGTGGTTTCCCATGGCTTCTTATGTGGATTAGGAGAGGGAATTAGGCATTTTCTAGAACAGATTGGCTTATAGACTTTTGTAAGTAAAAGGTAACTAGATAAAATTGAACAAACCCATTTCTCTTTAGAATAGGCAATTCCACTGAAGCAACTTGTTCTGGTAGGAGAGCGCCTCCTTATCATTTACTCGCTGCTCATTATCTTGATGAACAAAGATCCAAGCCAAATGGTGAAATTAGACAAGGATGAGGATTTTGATTTCCGTAAGAGATTATAGGGCAGATTCTAGGAGTTCATACAGTGTTCATAGCATTCTAAGTACAAAGAGCCTTTGTTTTAGTGCTCTGTGAGCTAATTTTATTAGATACATTCAATCTATAAATTCAAAATTTCATCCATTCCATACTTTGCTAAGGAAAATAAAAAGACTATTGTAATTATCCAGATTTAAAGCAGGTCTTAAGTCTGTTATTGCACAGTTCTGTTTACTAAAATAGGATGTCATTGTTGTTATGTGTGGTCAAGTCACTTGCAACTCATACGACCCTATGTACAACAGTTCTAAATCCTGCTCTATTCTGTGCCAACCTTATTGTCTCTGACACACCTACCCCCACCACCCCAATGACTGATTTAATCCATCTCGTGGAGTGTCTTCCTCTCATGCACTGTTCCTCCACCCTCCCAAGCATGATGTCCTTCTCCAAAGACTGGACCCTTCTTGCAACATGGCCGAAGTATGTCAGACGAAGCTTCAGAATCCTGGCCTCCAAGGAGCAGCCTGGTTTCACCCTCTGTAGTGCAGACCTGTTTATTCTCTTAGCATTCCATGGTATATTCAATACTCTTCACCAGCACCACAGTTCAAAGGCATCAATTTCCTTCTATCCTCCATAGTCATTGTCCAGCTTTCTGACTTGTAGCAAGTAATTGCAAAGACTGGCCTGGATCAGGTGCACCTTAGTCTCCACACTGATGTCATTGACCTTTAGTACTCTGGAAAGGTCCCTGACAGCTGCAGATTTTTCCCAATGCAATTCATCTTTTTATTTCCTGGTTGCCAGTGCTGAGAGCGTTGATTGTGGAGCCAACCAAACTGAAGCTGTTAACAATCTCAATCTTTTCACCATCTATCATGATGCTCAGCCAATTGGCTCATAGTATCTTTGTTTTCTTGATGTTGAGCTTCAGTCCATACTTAAGGCTATAGTCCTTGACCTTCTACAGCAAGAGCTTCAGATCCCCCTCAGTTTCAGCAAGTAGGATTATATCATCTGCATAACATAGATTGTTGATGAGTCTTCCTCCAGTCCTGACGCCACATTTCTCATATAGCCCAGCCTCCAAGAAGACCTGTTCTGCATATTAGATTGAAAAAGTATGGAGATAGGACACATCCCTGGTATATAGCCTTCTGAATTTTAAACCATGCAGTGTTTCCTTGCTCTGTTCTGATGACTGCCTTCTGGTCCAAATATAGTTTTCACATAAATACAATCAAGTGTTCTGAGATTCCCATTCTTCTCAGAGTCGGCCACAGTTTGTTGTGATCCACACAGTCAAATGCTTTTGCATAGTCAAACACAGATAGACATTCCTCGGGTGCTGTCTGTTTTCAGCCAAGATTCATCTAACATTAGCTATAATATCCCTAGTGCCATGGCCACTTCTAAACCCAGCCTGCATTTCAGGTAGTTCTCTGTTGATGTGCTATTCCAGTCATTGTTTGATAAAAATAGGATACAGTTTAGGGGTGTGTGTGTGTGTGTGTGTGTGTGTGGCTTTAGTGACATAGTCCGGAGGGGATTGAGCTGCTAACTGTCCTAAAGTCTGCCTCTCTGATGGTTCAAATCCACCAGTAACTGTGAGAGAAAGATGGACAGTCTCTTCCTGCATGATTTACAGTCTT